GTTGACTGAATGCAGAATGTCTCGTCTGACTGATATATGGAGAAACGAGGGCCAGTATCCCCCGGAACTACCATTCAATCCATTTCAGCGTTCACCATTCTATCAACCCTTGAAAGAGCAGATCCCGCTCCCTGTCTTTTTTTGAGAATTGCTCTTTGGGTCGTTCCCCACAAAGTGTTTTGTTACTTGTATAAGGGATATTTGGCCGAGTTGTATGAGCGGATCGCTCACAGACATCATGCGCAACAATAGCGGCTGGCTTTGCGCTTGCTATCGCACCTGATTGACCGTATGCGGGTCAGCCGAAAGGGGATAGCCGAGGACACTAGTAACCACGCCAATCATCTGTTCATCATAACGATCTGCGCCCGTTTGTCATCACTTGACGAGATGTTTTGAGCGTAATGGATGGAGTAGTGGGGACAAGCTGGCAGCTCAAGTTGCTCAGGTTTCTGCCGTTCTAGGGGTTTCTGAATGCGACAGATAAGGGGGGCATAGAACCCATGGAACTGGAAATGGAGAACAACCTCTTGTGAGCAATCGGGACAAAGGTTGTTCGGGTATGCGAAGAGACATGACGAATAATTAGACCATGCCATGTCTTCTCCTGTGCAGAATGCCCCTCTAAGCCGAACAACGCTTGAAACCCTTTGCCAAGGTTAAATACCGCTAAGATTTTGCCCGCTATCTGACTAGTTACTCCAGTGTAAGATGTCGCTTTTAGTTCTTTACTTTCATTGCTGTTGTTTGCTCATTTTGTGGGCATGTGTGCTTATGATTGAGTACCAGTGCAAAGGCCTTTAACGCACGCAACAAGGGCGGTTTACGTTTTGAATGACTATTAGAGGGATTATCGCGGAACTGATAGCCGAACACATACGTTGCCACGAGGAACCACCACGATCGGGTCGCCTCACCGCTTCTTATGTCCCCATATTGCGCAAGTGTACATCGTATGCACAATGTACTGTAACATCTGCCTGCGATCATCTCGTATTTCAAACTCTTGAACTCGACATGGACCTTGTGAAGTGGGTTACTTGTATTACTCATGCTCTTGCGCGATATGTACTATGCGACGATCACATGATTTTGGTCAGTTCTGTGAATTGCGAAGCGCTTGGCCCTGGCGCTCTGGCGCTCTTTAGCTTCGCCTTGCGCTCTGTCGCGAAGCAATTCTCCCTTGTAGCTTTTCAAGTGCTCTTGCTATTTTGCCGCGGGCTGTGTGCAGTGGAATGGCGAGCGATTGTCAACAGCCATTAATTTATTGCTTTTCGCCTCTCTAACCGAAATGAATATCGAGAACGAGCATACGCTCATGAAGAGAGATCAACAGAATTTGTGGTGTCTTTCTAGAAAACCCTGGAGTTAAGAGTTCAGGGGCTAACAGTTTTTTTTTGGAGGGAGGGGGGAGGAGGGTTCGAAGGACTCCTTGCATAAAAGTGGGACTATCGTGATCAGGGCACGTTCTGTCCTTGGGTCGTGTTTTGTCTTTTTACACCCCTCCCTCTCCCATCCTCCATCCTATTTGTCATCTCCTTGATTTCTACCAGCTTTCCCGGTGTTTTATCCAAAAATTCTTCGCTTTTTTTTCTGAAAAAAATTGCCTTTGGTCGAGGACGAGGGTGAGGGGGTGTAGCAGTGCACGTGATACAGGAAAACTGAGAGGAAGTTAACAACCAAAAAACATTTTTCAGAAAGGCAAAACACGTCCCCCCCCCTCCAACCAGCGACTCAATACCACGCTTATGTCCCTTACCCAGCTCGGTGAGGTTCCCCAGCGTACGACGTGCCCTAACCGTGACAGAGATGAGTTTTCTCCCAAGCCTACAGGGGGAAGGTCCCCCAGCATGAGTGAGCGAGACGGTAATTTCCAAGTACGGTGATTTTGCGCCAATGACGTAATCAAACAAGATCCCTCTCTTCCACAAGGAGTGCTTTAATGCCCCACCTAAAGGTTATAAGCGCTACCAAAACCTTTTCGTTGCCTAAGTATGCATTTTTTCCTTGTTTAGACTGTTCGAAAGAATCCTGGAGAACTAGTGGGATCAGTGTGTCTGGATAATGGACACCCTCGAGTGACCGAGTACAGCGAACTGGGTGCTGAATTGGCGGAAAAGAAAACGCCCGATGGACGTCTGCTCTTCTGTGCGGGATCCATCGCCAACCATGTCTTCTCCCTAGATTTCCTGGAAAGGTTCGTCAGTCCAGAACGCTATCCCGACAAATAAAAGAAACGTTCTTTTACAGCTTTTGTGAATGGTCTTTCCATCTACCGTATCATCGAGCCGCGAAGAAAATTGCTCATATGACCCCAGATGGGACGTTTGTGAAGCCTACAAGTCCGAACGGTATAAAACTAGAGCAGTTTGTATTCGACGTTTTCGAAAAGAGCAGGTGAGCTGTGGCACGAACAGGTAAGTTGGCCTAATGAGATTATCCAGTTTATTTTTTCCAGAAACTTCTACATCTGGGAAGTTGAGCGTGAGGACGAATTCAGCCCATTGAAAAACGCCGAGTCTGTTGGCAAAGAGTGCCTGAGTACTTGTAAGAGGGATTTGGCTTCTGTAAATAGGTGAGAAGCTCCCTACTAAGGTTTCTGGAATCCTGTTCTGCAATTTTATCTGTGCAGGAAATGGCTGGAGACGGCTGGTGCCATTATCAAGGACGACGGTCCCGTTTATATTGACGCGTCAGCCAGTTACTGTGGCGAGGTATGTATATCAACTTTTAGAACTGGAATGAGTCACTGTTTCGCCATCGGGACACGTCCTGCCGTTGGGAGCAGGAACCTGCTGGGTACGAGTCCCCTCAGGGCAATCCAACCTAAAAATCTAAATTCCTAACATCCTCCCAATTTCTTCCAACTCTACTCATTATTTTCCTCTTCATAAATTTCTCACTCCCCCTCCCCCCTGAAAAAGAAGTGCTGTCGAGAGGTTATCTATAGTGCATGACACGGGAAAACCGAGAAAAGTCAACAAGTGAAAACATCTTCCTAAAAAGCAAATCGACCCCCCGCCCCTCCCCCAACCCTCCCTCCAGCGACCAATGCAAGCCCCCTCGTTGGGATCCCAATGTAGGACGTGCCGAGTTCGCCATAGATATTCCAAAATCCGTAGTTTTGCCCAAGATTTGATTTCGAGCTATTTCTACTAGTAATTGAGGAAACTGGACTTCTCCG